AAAACCAGGACGATGGATAAAGTCCAAAAACCCAATATATCAGTGAACTTATCAGGTATATATTAACCGATACGGACTTTACTGTAAGTGTTATTAAACACGTTTTAATCACCCTAACTAGTTTCATGAGTACCACGAACAATGTGAGAATATTGTACAGTATAATACTGACCCTACTCATATGTTAATTCAGTAACTGAGAGAAGTAGTTCTTCCACCTGTTCAAAATATTGTCCTTAGCTTATCGTTTTTCCAAAGAATCCGACCAGGGTCGAAGCCCTTCGTGACATTTCGTAACAAGCTAACTTTTTTTAAGGTGTAAAGCTGGTTTTCCACGACTGCTTATTCAGTATATTTGCAGCCACTCTCCATATCTGGAGGCCGCCTTCTCCATCCGCAACCTGAGGAAGCGCCATGCCATGGTGACACCCACTTAACATGGACACGGACCTCATAGAAAACCAAAAATACCGTATTTACGCATGTATAGGTCGCGTGCATGTATAGGCCGCAGCACAATTTTCAGACAGAAATTATAGAAAAAATAATTTTCTTGGAATATTATTTCAGGAGTATTACACCCTGTATTACTAATTATGAATATAATTTTTTTAAATGAAGTGTGATTTCGAATATTTCGAATATAAGCCGCACCCCAGTTTTCCTCTTGAATTTTTGGCAAAAAATGTGCGGCCTATACATGCGTAAATACGGTAAGGGATACAAGGATACACAGAGAGCAAGGTGATCTCGTAGGCCTCCAGTCATTTTTCAAAACAAGGGAATTATTGTTAGAGGCGAGAAATGGAAGTGACAGAGAACCGGCCGTTCCAGGTTTTTTTTTCCTTGGCACTACAGCCCCAGTGGGCCTAGGCCTACCACCATGAACTTCTCCGTTCACTTCGGTTTTTCTAGATCTTACACATTCGGTAGGACTCTTTGGGCGGGTGATCAGCTCGTCGCAAGGCCTCTACACAAACACAGAAACACGCACACACACAAACTAAACATCCATGCCCTGAGTGGGATTCGAACCCACGATCCCGGCTTCCAAGCGAGCGAAGACAGTACATGCCTTAGACCGCTCGGTTACCGTGACCGGCGGCCGTTCCAGGTATCATATGTTATTTTGAGGAGGAAAAGGGGATTGTAGGACCGGGTTCCTTTCTTTACCTCTTGCCCTTGCAAAGCCAGCCAGTCCTGAGACGGCACGTTCCTCCGAAACGACGGCGTCCATCTGCAGCCCAGAATAATACAGTCTTAACTACGGCCGCGAAGACCACAAAACATATGAGTAAAAGAGTTAATCTTTTGTGGAGATAACTGTCTTCCAGGGTGTGACACCGTGTAGTTTTGTAGTCACTCACGTTTCGAAGGTTCCTTGAAAACGTTAGTGCTTATCTACAAAACTACACGGTGTCACATCCGAGAAGACTGAACTTGAGATCACACGAGGCAGGTGCCTGTTGCCCAGCGTACCGCCTCTGCTGCTAATGACTATTTCCAAATAGCTCACAACCGACATATACGTGTATGTTATTGTCCTGCAAAAACCGCATATCTCGGATTGTGAAAGTGGCTATGCCCTTTCTTGCAGCAGCCACCAGAAGTATGCCAAGGGGAGGCAATTGGCAAATCGGTCGTCCCTTGCCACTCGTACAAATCCGACTATTGCAAAGAAGTCTGCCCTGCTTGCTTTTATTATTTGGACGTCACACTGCAAGTAGTAGTTTAATAAAAACCTATTATAATAAACCGGAAGGTTCAGCGCTGCTAATAGTAAGACAGTAAAATTCATTTTATTTCCACACAGCCTGTTTCCCAAGTAAGCAGCCATTGTTTCCCTAAACAGCATTAACCGAATGATCTTTATAAGAGGCGTTATGTGTTTCCTGTGAGGTACGAACTGAATTTGTATATATATAATGTAGAAGAAATAGCATACATAGTTTTTTTTAATGATTGAGGGGTGGAACTAAGTCCCTTGTACTGCGGCCACTTCTGGCCTATTGTACCAGCCCCAGATGATAGGTGAGGGTGATTGTGGAGCAATTGGTGGAATGAAGATTGGCAAGGGAAACCGAAGTACTCGGAGAAAACCTGCCCCAGCACCACTTTGTCCACCACAAATCCTACTTGACCAGACCCGGAATCGAACCCGGGCCGCCGTGGTGGGAAGCCAGCGACTAACCGCTTGAGATATGGCGCGGAGCGTACGTAGTTGGTTGAGGCAGTATCCTACAAGCCTTAAGGTCGCGGGTTCGACTCCAGATTGGGTCATTGGATTTTTCAGTTGACCTAATCCTTCCAGTCACACTATGGCCCTGGGGTTGACTCAGCCTCTAACAGAAATCAGTACCAGGAATCTTCCTGGGGGTAAAGAGTGGCCGGCCGGCGCGTAATGTTGAAAACCTCACAACCATCTTTGAGCCGATTGTCTAGAAAATGTGGGAGCCTCGACGTCGCACAACCCTATGGGCCTCCACAGCCTGTTACAGGGGTACCTTTTTATTTATTTTTCATTTTTATGTAGAAGAAATTCAGTATTTAAATGATTAATAATGGTGAACAAAGTACGGGAGATGAGTGCGTCGACAGGTTAGGCACGCCGACCAGCTGCCACTGTCGCGCGCTACGGCAGACCGGGGCTTGTTCAGCATTGCTGCGAAACCGAACCTCCAGAGAACTAAACAGCAGACGGGAATTGATACTTGACTCGCTAACGCAGAAGATGTAGGGTCCAGACAGTTTAATTTCGGAACGGTTCGTTGGCCCAAAATTTAATAGGCCTAAGGAGAATATATTATTATTATCATTATCCTTTATCTAACAGGTGACTTGAGCACTTGTATAATGAAGTACGCTACTAAGCTCGCGGTTACCTTATTGTTATTACTTAGCGTATCTTTAACCCTGAACATGGAAACAGCATATTCCTCCGAAATTTATGTGAACTTTACTAGACTGCCAGATGATAGCTCCCTTCAAATGGTGGCTTCCTTAAAAGAACTGTCCCCCCCCCCTTTTTTTTTAACATTTTGTGTTGAAAACCCAATCTCCGGTTCCTGTCCTCGCTTTTGCATCAGTGTTTTACAGTTTATGTGAAGGAAACTTTCTGTGACGGACAGAACGTAAGGCGGCCCATGCAGGTATGGCTCGCGAGTCCGGCTCGGTGGGGAGCCGGGCTCGGATTAAGTTCACCACACACGGACGAGTTTGGCTCATTGGATCCCGAGCCGAGTCGGACTCAGACTCGTACGTGTATGGGCCCCCTAACACGTGGGAGCACTGTATAGGCTTGTGCGCATATAAATAAACTATCTTGTACGACAGTAAGAAAAGTATAACGATACTTGTGCAACACCCGTTGAGAATTCCATGTGAAGCCTAATTTTTTGTCGTATGAGCTTTCGTACTGTTAATTTCCCTGCTTTTCCGCGTATTCCTTTCCTGATCTGCATTGGCATAGTTGGTTGAGGCACTATGCTATAAACCGGAAAGTCGCAGGTTCGATTCCCGATAAGGTCACTGGATTTTTCAATTGACCTAATCCTTCCAGCCCCAATATGGCCTTGGATGTCGACTTAGCCTCTAACAGAAATGAATACCAGGAATCTTCCTGGGGTAAAGGGCGGCCGGCGCGTAAGGCTGACAACATTACCGACATTTGTTAATCGATTGTCTAGAAAATGTGCGAGCCTCGACGTCTCACAATCCTATGGGCCTCCACGCTCTGTTACAGGGATAGCTTTACTTTTTTCCTTTGCATGTTACCGAAGGATACATCGAATCCGACGTTTAGGGCCATCTCCCATGAATAGCACGCATAATGGTCAGCTTTAAACTATTTGCTTTCTGTAGTACACTACAATTCACAACATAAAATATTATCAACATTTACAAAGTAGACACGATACTCTGAAACACAAGACTCCACGTTCTTCCGTGATCTGCTACGTAAGTTAAATGGATGAAACTTGTTAACGATCGAGAATTCTATGCTGCGGTAACCCGAAATTTCGTAATTTCAGAGCTTTCCTTTCAGAGGTGCATCAAATTTATCGCGATTATATATTGGATCGGAAAACTATGGATTTCTGGGTTTTGGGACTTTGTTCATCTTTCGGCATTCTAAAGGATAATGCTGTTTGCAATACCGGACGATGGACAGAGTCCAAAAACCCAGTAACCCCGAGTGTTATACATCACCATCGGAACACTTTAGAATCTACTAAGATTTGATGAATTCTGTCTCCTGGGATATAACACTGTGTAGCCAGTTGAAAGTCAACGGACGTGTCGGAGGAACATGTCGCCTTCGTGTTCATGGTTGAAAAGTAAACCAAGTAAGAAATCGGTATGAAGCAGGCAGCAAACAGTGTGTTATATCACAGTAGACATAATTATGTTCGCAGAACCTCAGATCGTTCTCAGAGAGGATTTGTTAAACACACGAACGTACCACGTGCCACGCAGTGCGTCAGCCCTCTTGGGAGCCTGCCTTGGCAGATGAGGACAGATTCACTTGACAAAACAGCGATTTTTTTTTAAAAAGTGTTCACGTAATATAAGTTAATGGCAAACCGAATAGCTCAGTTAGCATAGTGACTACGCTACGGTCTGAACATTCAGGTCCCGACAGGGGCAAGATGTTGTTCTGTACTTTGGTTATGGGGCCCACCTGGCCTTCTGCCCAGTGAATGCGGTAGGCAATTTCCCCGGGGCCTAAAGCTGACAACTCACCTCCATCTATTGCCGAGGTTAAGAATGTGTGGAGCTGTACCTCCATTCACCCATACGTCATCATAGCATGATGCATACTGAAGCACGAAGACAAACTTTACGTTTATTTCAATGTTTTACATTAAAGAAATAAGCAACTGAATAATTAATAAAAGTTGAACAGTAGCTATTTCCGTGACATAAACTTTAATATTATCCTCGCATGTGTTGAGCAACCACAGTTCGATACGCGCACGCACTCTGGTTCCACGTTGCAGGTAACAGCAGCGGTTCCAACGAGCATCAGCAAGGAGCCGGTGCTGAGTCGCGAAGTCCGGGCGAAACTCAGCCTGCCGCCCACTCCACGCAACAGCAACTGATCTCAGGTGAGACATTGGGACATTCACTCTTTTATTCAGCATTTCCTAAACTTGCCACACTTCGTAGGGGCCCCGAGCGCGAAACATTCGTCGCTTGCATTGTTGAAAGGTTTACAGTGTTTAAACCAACATTTCAGCTCGCACCTTCAGGGTTAATAATGCCTATGTGGGGAAGGGCTTTGGAAGTTCTTGTACAAGTCTCATAATTGGCGGTGAGTCACAGATGAAACTGTGATTGACGTAATCAGAGAACCTGGGTGCTATTCAAAAACCCGCTTAAAGAGGTTAAATTCTGAAGATGTCACGTGCAATATTTACCGAAGCGCTGTGAAGCCTTCAAGCCTCCAAGAACTGTAAATTCATAATCGGAAAATAATTTTAAATGCGAAAACGCGTTGAGTTGTGGTTGCGATTAGAATCGTTTTAAATTTTAATTTCGTAAATTTGGTGGTGTAAAACAGGTTGGATACTGACTATTCTGTGTGTTTTCGTCGTTTCCCTGGCCCCCGCCATGCGCATGCCGGTATAATACGTCAAATTGGGTGACGTTTCCATGTACACTATTTCCAAGTCATTCATGAAATCACCCAGTCACTCTACCCCACATAACCTGAGCTGCTGACAGCGCTGTTTTGTAAACCTTGAATTTTTTTTAATGCTAATGGGGTGGGACCAAGTCACTTATACTGCGGCCACTTCTGGCCTATTGTACCAGCCCTAGATGACAGATGAGGGTGATTGTGGAGCAGTTGGTGAAATGAAGATTGGTAGGGGAAACCGAAGCACTCGGAGAAAACGTGCCCCAGCGCCACAAATCCCACTTGACCAGACCCGGGATCGAACCCGGGCCGCCGCGGTGGGAAGTCAGCGACTAACCGCTTGAGCTATGGCGCGGCCTTCCTAAAAGTTTCAGCTGCTTGTATCTCACGGTGCTGAAAAGGAAAGGAACCACGCCCCGGGCGAAGAACGGGTACTTCTGTTTGTCTTATAAACGTGATAGCCCACAAGTCTCATCCTTTATGACAATTCTCTGGATGTGTAGAGTTGTGGACGTTGTAACAGATGGTTACCATGCATTTAACAGGCACTAGAAAAGAAAACCTGTTACCAGTGTTGGCTCAGTCAGTGTAGTAAGCAGACTGGAAGGGCAGAGATGTTCTCCACAGCGTCAAAACCAGCTTTGTAGCCTACCTAACTTCATGTAGTTAAGGAAACGTTAAGCGGCCTCCGTAGTCTAGAGGTAACGTTCCCACCTCCTGCCTCGTAGTACGCGGGTTCAAATACCCGGCGGAGGTCGTCGAATTTTTAAGGGCGGAAAAATTCAGGGCTAGATGACAGATGAGGGTGATTGTGGAGCAATTGGTGGAATG